TTTAATATTTATTTTTTAGTTCTCGGCGGACACAACATCTTTGTTGGTATGTGGTGCTGAGGATCGAACCCGGGCCGCACGCATGCCAGGCGAGCGCGCTACCGCTGAGCCACATCTCCAGCCCTGGAAAGTATCTTAGAATGGCAAATCCTATAAGAAAAAACTAAGTGAAAATTTGTATTTATTGGTGTAAAAAAACAATATTTACTCCTATGTTTTTTAAAAAAGTATCCTCACCTTTAGTGCACCGAATCCTCATAACTGCCTCAAAGCCAATTTTCCGAGTGAGGTATCTCTGTAGTTCCTTCTGTAATTTCTGTACTTGGACTGGGTTGTGCTGGTGATGGTAAGAAGGATAGTAATAGACACTACCTGCTGAGTACCGAGAAATACACCCTGGAAGAAAACATACACATTTTTCAAATAGTGGCATTACCTCCTATTACTATGATAAAATTAAGTGCAGACATTTGATTCAATTTTCTCTAACTTCTCAAGTCAAAAGAATATTCCATTCTGTAACTGTCAAAAAGAATATTCTATTCCTCTAAATAGTAGTGTAGACATTTTTCTATTTCTCCCCTACTAAATTAGAGTACAAGACGACTCTGAAGTTTATAGTAGATTAAATTGACTGTTAAACTGGGTATAATGTTGTGCACCTATAGTCCTGGCTATTTGTGAGACTGAAGCATGAGGATCACTTAAATTCACAAGTTTAAGACCAGCTTGAAGCTGGGTGCAGTGGCCCTCACCTATAATTCTAGCAGCTCAGGACGCTAAGGCTGCTGGATCACCAAGTTCAAAGCCAGCTTCAGCAACTTAGTGAGGCCCTAAGCCAATTCAGCAAGACTCTGTCTCTAAATAAAATATAAAAAAGGGTTGGGGATATTGCTTAGTGGTTAAGCAGCCCTGGGTTCAATCCCCGGTGTGTGTGTGTGTGTGTGTGTGTGTCTCTCTCTCACACACACACACACACACACACACACAGTGGTTACCCCTGGATTCAATCCCTGGTACTAGGAAAAAAAAAAAAAACAGCTTGGGCAAGAGCCCATTTCAAAAAAAGAAATATCCAAACCAAAACTGACTCTTCCAAAACTCTCTGGAAGGAATAAAAATAAATTTATCGGGCTGGGGTTGTGGCTCAGGGGTAGCGCACTTGCCTGGCATGAATAAGGCACTGGGTTCGATCCTCAGCACCACATACAAATAAATGATATTGTGTGTCCATCTTCAACTAATTAAAATAAATAAATAAATATATATATMTATCTAAGTATCTGTTTTTTTATTTATTTATTTTTGGTGGTGCTGGAGATTGAACCCAGGACCTTGTGCATGCGAGGTAAGCACTCCACCAACTGAGCTATATCCCCAACTTGGGAATAAAAATTTTACTTTTGTCCTCTACCTAGATCATCATGCTACTTGGAAAGCTAAAGTAGGAGGATTGCAAGTGCTCAGGAGCACCTTACCACTGAGTTACATCCCCAGTTATTTTTTGTTTGCTTTGTTTTTGTTTTTCTTTTGAGATAGGTTTTTGGTAAGTTGCTAAGGGTCTTGCTAAATGGATGAGGCTAGCCTCGAACTTGTGCAGTGGTAGAGAACTTGCCTAGCATATGCAAGGCCCTGGGTTCAATTCCCAGTACTGGGGAAAAACAAAAACAAAAAACAATGAAATAAAATCATTTAAACACCATTTTGATACTCATTTTAGGGAAAAAAAAAAAATCATCAGGAAACACTTACCCAGAGAAGCCAAATCAGAATATTGACCACTGAGAAGGAACAAGTCAACAGCTATCTGCTGACCAGAACAGTCCAATGCTAATTTCTTATAGAAGTCAGTAGAAGGTGTCAGGTGTATTTCCTATGAATAAATTACAAAGAGTTTTTTTTTTTTTTTAAATCATTAAATTATCAAAAATGTAAATACACACCTACATATAGCAAGGTGTCAATAACAATTGTCTCTAGGGATTCTACATAATCTACAGTGCTTTTACTATTTGATTTTTTTCATTAAGAATCAGGTACTGATTAAGAATTTTCTATGGGCTAGAAATGGAGCTCAGTGATATAGAACTTGACTAGGATGTGTGAGGCCCTGGGTTCGATCCTCAGCACCACATATAAGTAAATAAAATAAAGGTATTGTGTGTCCACCTACAACTAAAAAAATATATATATATTACAAAATACCTCTATCATATTAATTTTGTAATAGGCAAAGATAGTCATTATAACCAAAATCTAGCAAATGCTCAGTATGCTGGGAATCATTCTAAATAATTCATATGCAATATCTACTTAGTCCTTACAACTACCCCAAGAAGTAGATACTATCAATATTTTCACTTTATATACACAGAAACAAAACAACAAAGAAATGAAATAACTATTTAAGTTCACACATCTAAAGAGCAGTGGAATGTATAGGTAGTCTGACTCCAGGAGTAACTTCATAATCAATATATTATACTGACTTCTCATAATCTTTTGGGAAACACAGGTCTCAAGCCATTAAGTTTAGCTGGGAACAGTGGCACACACCTGAAATCTCAGCAACTCAGGAGGCTGAGGCAGGAAGATCAAGAGTTCAAAGCCAGCCTCAGAAACTTAATGAGACCCTGTCTCTAAATAAAAATAAAAATGGGCTTGGAATGTAGCTCAGTGGTTAAGTGACGCTGGGTTCAATCCCTGGGTGCCAAAAAACACAAAAACTCCTGAAATTGTAAGTTTATACATATGAGGTACTCAAATGCAATCTGAGGCTGTCAATATACCAAGTTACAACCATTCCTAGCTGGTCATCCAGGTTTCCCTTTGCCCCTAGCAAGTACATTAACTCCATTTTTTTGGGGGGTTGGGAGTTGGGGGTTGAGGGTTGCGGGCAGGTACCAGGTATTGAATCCAGTGCGCTTAACCACTGAGCCTCATTCCTGGCCCTTTTTTATGTTTTATTTTGAGACAGGGTCTCACTAAGTTGTTTAGGGGCTTGCTAAATTGCTGGGGCTGGCTCTGAACTTAGAGATTCTCTTACCACAGCCTCCCAGTTGCTGGGATTATAAGTGGAATTGGAGACTGAATCCAAAGGTGTTTTACCATTTTACCCAATTCTTTTTATTTTACATTTGAGATAGGGTCAAGCTAAATTGCCAGGCTAGCCTCAAACTTGCAATTCTCCTTCCTCAGCCTCCCAACTCACTGAGACTATAGGCATGCACCACCATGCCCAGCTTAGCAAGTACTTTCTTTTAGTCTCCCAAACTTTCTCTTCAAAGCCAGGCTGGATGACTAGTGGGGGTACTAAAGATATTAAAAATAAGGCATGGGTGAATCAGGTAGAGAAAAATATAGTAAGGGTTTCATATAAAAGTGAAACCATTTACCTATTTCCTTATAATTCCTCCTCCTCACAACTGGAAATCTTCCCTGCCTCCTCCCGCTAAAAAAACCCCTATGGTCAAAGGGACAAAGCACCAGCATTAATCTTATCATACACTTGATGACTTTCTAACCTTAGCAGATGATTTTTGGTTGGGTTCCTCTCGTGGCTTCAGGGCTCCCACTCCAAGCGTTGGGAGCTGTGTTTGAAAGACAGACATTCGACCACCAGTTGGGGACATCAGCTTAAAGGCAGCCTGAAGTGCAGGACCCAAGGCACTCTGGGTCTCCAGAGTCTTGGTAAACATTTGTGGCAAAGTTTTCAGTAATTCTTGAACAAGCTTGTGAAGTAAATAAAGAAAACTCAAGAGTGTTACAATTAATTATTTTCATAATAAGTCAGTATCTAATACAAAAGACAAAGACATTGAGTCATGATGATGATCAGAGAATCTACAGACACTACAGTAAACAATGAAGTTGGTCAAATGACAAGAAAGCCATTTTAAGTCAACATTATAAATTGGCAAGCAAGACATCAAAATTGGGGCCTTACAGTTCTTGCACATGCAATAGCCCAGCAAGACTATAAGTCCAAAATGTATCCAAAAGAACCATAAGTTTAGAAATTTGATTTATTTTCATGCCATGAAATATGGCTTTCTCTGTCGCCTCTACACTTTATTCTTTTAAGTTCCAACATGAGTTAATTCTTCCCTGTTGCAAAATCTAACATATCCAGTAACTTTGCCAACCTTGTAATATCACTACAAAAGAAAAACAAAAATCAAAACCAACTACCTATTCAGGTTAGGTTGTACAAATAAAGAGAATAAATGGGGGAAAAATACTTTGCACCATGGCACAGTGACCACTGCCAACAGCAGAGACCATAGACTTGCTAGTTAAAATGTTACCCCTATGGCATATATGCATGTACAGGGTAGACAACATCCCCATTCAGACACATTCTGTTCACCTCTCAGTGTATTATGTCATGGCAATTTCCAGGCAGGTAATAAGAGTTTCTTCTGAACTGACCCCAATGACACTCTGTGAATCAGAAAAGCAAAGGGCACTGAGAGCAGCCTGGCTCATGTGCTTCTGTGTAGTGACGAGAAGCTTTATCTCAGCAACCCTCCCAACTTCCCAAAGGGCTGGCAAGACATATTTCCTTCAGATGTTGCTCCTTTCTGGAACAGGCTTCTCATCTATCCTACTAAAATACCTTGTTGCATTAGACTTAAAAATGATTGGCATGAGACTGAACTTGAGAACTGTTCATTTAATGAACTTAAACTAGGAGCAAGCTAAGATGCTACATAGCTTAGAAATGTCAAAGCAATCAGTAAAATTTTACTTAAAGTTCATTTAAAAAATATGCCTTCAGGACTGGGGTTGTAGCTCAGTGGTGAAGCACTTGCCTCAAGTGTGAGGCACTAAGTTTGGTCTTCAGCACCACATAAAAATAAATAAAATAAAGGTATTGTGTCCATGCACAACTAAGAAAAATTTTTTTTAAAATATGCCTTCAATATTTCAATCAAACACGTTGTGTAGGAAAATGTATCTTACCTCTTTACTTTCATTTAAGTTTACTAATAAGTTCTCTGGCATAGGTATAAAAACATCTGAAAGAATAAGTAAATATTTATTTTAAACAAAATTAAACTGTTAAGAATGTTCCAAATACACAACACTGATGCAATTCACTACTTTGTACTTAAAGAAAAGCCTTCTCCTTGACTATAGACTACACATGTCCAAAGAACTACCAAAACAGCACTGACTTGGGTATTTACAGCAACTTTTCTTGTTTTTTGATGACTAATGAAGGTAAATAGCTTCCCAATTAGTAAACAGTGATCTGTAAGCACTCAATAAGGGTTTGTGCAAGTGTTTTGTTTCCTAGGTTAAAGACAGCAACTCTTTTAAAGAATCTTGCTTTACTTTTTTTTATGGCTGACCCTGCAAACCAGCCAAAAATACTCTTTGCATTAAAAAAAAAAAAAAAAAAGAGGCAACACACAAAAATTTAACCTTTATACAGAATAACCGTCAGTTCGAACACTGATACTTTTTCATAAAGAAGACCCACATAAATGCCCCAACTAATGAGACTACAAAAACAATTACAAATGGGAGTTCATAATCCACTTGAATCAAATATATGAAATATGATATGTCAAGAGCTTTGTAATGTTTTGAACAACTAAAAAAAAAAAAAAACCAATTAGAAAGCGTACTAATGTGAGGGCTGGGGTTGTGGCTCTGCGGTAGAGCACATGTGAGACCCTGGGTTAGATCCTCAGCACCACATAAAAATAAATAAACAAAATAAAGATATTGTGCCCATATATAACTAAAAAAATATTTAAAAAAAAAAGTACTAATGTGACCACTTTAGGTGAGCCTCTCAAAATTCACATTTATTCCTGCTTAGGAATTGAATTCCCTTCCTTAGATGAAGGAAAGCAAACTAGGAAGAGAAGATAGGTGTTGGTGAATTATGAGGAAAATCACTTCCTATACTGCTTTTGCTAAGAAAAAAATAAAGCTAATTATGAAGTTTGTAAAAAAAAATACAATAAGTAACTTAAAATATTAAATATTTACTTTAGCTGTCATATGAAAATTCTATTGCCAACTGTTCAGTTTTCTTCCTTTTATTCTTTTTTTTTTTTTTTAAATAGTGAGAGAGGAGAGAGAGAGAGAGAATTTTTAATATTGATTCTTTAGCTCTCGGCGGACACAACATCTTTGTTTGTATGTGGTGCTGAGGATCGAACCCGGGCCGCAYGCATGCCAGGCGAGCGCGCTACCGCTTGAGCCACATCCCCAGCCCCTTCCTTTTATTCTTTAAAAAATTCACCCTCATGAAAAGAAGAGGTCTGAACTGGGTATGGTGGCTCATACCTGTAATCCTAACTATTCAGGAAGCTGAGGCAGGAGGATCACAAGTTTGAGGGCAGTTTGGGCAATTTGGTGTCTCCAAATAAAAAATAAAAAGGGATTGGAAATTAGCTCAGTGGTAGAGCACTTGCCTAACATGTGCTAAGGCTCTAGGCTCAATCCTCAGCACCACATTAAAAAAATAAATAAATAAATAAATAAATAATAAATAAAATAAAAAAAGAATATTCAGTGATTTTTTTAATATACATATATTCACAGACTTTTCCACTACCATCATCATCTAATTCCAGATCTTTCTCATCATCTCAAAAAGAAACCCTGAAATCATGGTTACTTCCCATTACTACTTTCCCCAGGTTCTTGGCAACTAATGTACTTTCTTTTCCTATAGAGTTGCATATCCTGGACATTTTACATAAAGAGAGCCATACTGGACTGGGATTATAGCTCAGTAGTAAGTGCTTGCCTAGCATATGGAGGCCCTGAATTCAATCGTCAGCACCACATGAAAAATAAATAAATAAATAAAATGTATCGTGTTCATCTACAACCTTAAAAAAAGAAGAGAGAGAGAGAGAGTCTTACTATAGGTACTCTTTTGTGATTGGCTTCATTCACTAAGAATATTTTCAAAATTCATCCACATTAGTACGCATCAGTACTTCATTCTTTTTTTATTGCTGAATAACATTTCATCATAAGAAAAGACTATATCTATTTATCTATTCATCAGATGATGGGCATAAGTTGTTTCCACTTTTGGTCATATTGCCCTGAACATTTATATATGAATTTCTATGGATATGCTTTCTGTTTTTTTGAGTATACACCCATTGAATAGAACTGCTAAGTCATATGGTAACTTTAACTTGTGTATGATTCTGTGTGTCACTAGAGATTGAACCTAGCGGCACCCCACCACTGAGTTATATCCCCTTGGACCTTCTTTTTTGTTGTTTTTGTGATGCTGGGTATTGAACCTGGAGTCTCAAGCATGCCCCCAGACCTTACTTATATTTGAAACAGGATCTTGCCAAGTTTCCCAGGCTGGCCTTGAATTTTTTATTCTTCTTGCCTCAGTGTCCCAAGTAACTGGGAATACAGGTGTGTGCCACTATGTTTGGCTTCTGTTTAACTTTTTGAGGAACTGCCAGACTGTTTTCCATAGTGGCTACACCGTTTCACATTTCCCTAACAGTATATGATTTTTCCAATTTTTGTTATTGTCCAAACCTTTCATTTTGGCCACCAACTTGGTGTGAGTGACATCTCATTGCACTTTTAATTTGTATTTGCCTGATAACTAATGCTGTAGAGCATGTATCAAATCTATCTATAGAAATTTTGGTGGGAAGTGCTGGGGAGTGAACCCAGGGCTTTGGACAAGCTAAGCATGCACACTACCAGAACTACACCTCTATCCCTAAAATATTGAATATTGTATAATGAGTAGAGAAATGTCTATTCAAATCCTTTACCCACTCATTCACTGGGCTATTTGTCTTTTTATTGTTAACTTATAGGAGTTCTTTAGGTAATCTAGATATAAATTATTTTTTCAGATAGGATTTTCAAATATTTTCTCCACATAGCAGACTCATACCATACACTACTAATTTGCCAGGTCATGAATATTCCCAAAATAGAAAATTCCTTACACAGTTCATTAAATTTGTGTATAACATATACCTTCAATATCTGAAACTATTAGCATCTGAGGTTGAGAGAGACCTTCTTGAAGACTGTAGAAATGAATTGTACTGTCAAATGTTATGAAGCCAATTTTTGTTCTAGTGTTGCCAGGAAGCCTAAAAACAAATTCAGAAGAGTGTTTATAAAATACATAAAATATCTGCTAAGTATTATTACATGAAAATATCTAATTTACTATTATGGAAACTGGTCCAACACAAACAAATTTTTAAACCATCCAATGTTTACAACTATGAAAACATCCCCCTCAATGGAAAACATGACACACATAAGCCAAATAATCAGTGAAAAACAGGAATAACAGCAATCCAACTTCTAATATGAAGTTATAGAGCATTTACTTGCCTGGCCTGTACAGCCCTGAGTTAATCCAGTACTGGGGGTGGGGACGGGGGGTAAGAATGCTCCAAAAAATAATCATATTGGACTGGGGATATAACTCAGTTGGTAGAATGCTTGTCTCATACGAACAAGGCCCTGGGTTCAATTCTTAGCACAACAAAAAAGTATRTAAATAAATAAAATCATATAACAACTCTAAAATGTAATGTGAATGTAGGCAGTGCACCCCTAAAAAACTCTGCATGAATTTTATATATTTTTAAAAAATATTTATTTTTTAGTTTTAGGTGGATATAATATCTTTACATAATATCTTTATTTTATTTATGTAGTGCTGAGAATCGAACCCAGTGCCTCAGACATGCTAGGTGAACACTCTACCACTGAGCTACAACCCCTGCCCTATGAATTTTATATTGTTAAATGCATTTATTTAAAACAAAGAGGAGCAAAAGCATCTGTTTTAAAGGAACTGTTTTGTTGTTGTTGTTTTTGTACYGGGGATTGAACCACTGAGCCACATCACCAGCCCTATTTTGCATTTTATTTAGAGACAGGGTCTCACTAGTTGCTCAGCACCTTGCTTTTGCTGAAATTGGCTTTGAACTCATGATCCTCCTGCCTCAGCCTCCCAGCAGCTGGGATTATAGGCATGAAAAGGAGGAGGATTAGATGATACAAGAACAACAGAATACTAAAGATGAGAAAGTTGAGAGATGGGCAGTTCATTCAATTATTATTCCTTCTTACTTCAGATTTGAAAATAATGTTCTTAAGAAAAAGTGAGTACTGCTGGGTGCAGTAATCCCAGTGACTTGGGAGGCTGAGGCAGGAGGATCACAAGTTTGAGGCCAGTCCGGAAACTTGGAAAAACCCTGTCTCAAAATAAAAAATGCAAAGGGCAAAGACCATAGCAATGATAGAAGAATCCTTGGGTTTAATCCCAGGTATTACCAACCCCCCCCCAAAAAAAAAACCAGTAATACCTAAGTGATTTAAATGAATTTTTAGAACATAAATTATATGACTTATTTTTGTATTTTGAAAACTAGTCATTCATTTTGCAAACACTGTTAGTTTTAGGTTTAAGCTGAATTGAGACACTTACAAATCCAGATTGTCTAACAAACTCTGGCAAACTGAATTCAAGTATCCAGTTTCAACTGCATTGTGAGACACATCAAAAACAAAGAGGTACACTGGAGGTTGTGGTGGTCGTAACTAAAGAAAAGAAGAATCTCATTAAATACATTTAATAGGATTAAATTTCAACTTATTTGTTGGGTTCACATACAGCAAAACCATAAAATATGCATTATTTACATACTAAGTGGAGATAACAGTAAAGTTACATCATAGTGTTTATAAATGCATACTTAAAGGAAAAATGAGTCTGGGATTGCCATATTTCAAGAGTATTTTCTCTAGGACAGAAAGGGGAAGAAATGTGATCAGAAGGGCTCATGGCAATATCAGTCACATTCAATTGCTTGACCTATATAGTGTTATGCAGTACTAACAAAGGTATTTACTTGTTAACCTGTATATTTACATTTTATTGACATTTCTATGTGAGCATATTTTGCAATTTAGTGAAATGATCGTTACGAAAGTGACAAGTCGAGTTAGCCTTGGCTGATTATTTAACCAACATTTTTAGGTTAAATCCTACAAAAATTTAAGACTATGTATTTTATAAACTTACAAATCCCCAAAGACTTGTTTTCATTTCCTCTTTTTATTTTAGGTGGGGAGGACTGGGGATTGAAGCCAGGGGCACTCTACCACTGAGCTACATCCCTAGCCCCTTTTTATTTTTTTATTTTGAGATAGGGTCTTACTAAGTTACCGAGGCTGGCCTCAAACTTGCAATCCAGCTGCCTCAGCCTCCTCAGTAGCTGGAATTATAGAAATTTGCCACTACGCCTGGCCAAAGATTTGTTTTCAATTAAAACAAACAAACAAAAGCATCAAATAGCCACAATCACAACTGGGCATACAGTACACTATTTTTTATATATTTTTGCATATATCACTTGCCAAATTCATAAAACCTGTCATTCAAGAGGTAAGCCAGAAAAAAAAAAAAAAAAGAGGTAAGAGGTAAGCCAGGAAAGAGTAAAAATCTTTTGCAATAGGCCAGTTTCCAAATTTAAGGGAAGCCATTTTGGCAAAACCTGGGCAATAAATGGCCTTATAAAGCTCAATTCAAAAGAACAAATGCTTCTGCTCTTCTGACTTTAATTCACCAAAGAGACAGTCATTCTGCAGAAAGCATTACCAACCACCACCAAATCTTTTATCCATAGCAAGACACTGACCTCTCATAAATTCCTCAGTATAATCAACCCAATTGCCAAGATAAAGACTATGCCACAAAAATATATTAAAATACTAGATTATTAAAGGTTGGTGATAAGTTTTATATTCATATTCCCTTTCCCTAAGGGTAATTATGGCATAGCAAAAGAGAAAAGAAATCAAAAGACCTGAATTTTTTCCAACTACTGCCCAGTCACTTAATCTAAATTTATTTTCACATCTGTAAAATAGGATTAACACCATTTCCCTACCTTAGAGTATTACTTGTGATGATAAAAATGTAAGTGCTCTATAAAATGTAAAGTGCTAAGCATTTGGCATAATTATCTTTAAAATGCAAGGTCTCAGATACTTTCTGAAGAGTATAAAATTACTTACAAGAGGATGTTCATCACAGCATTGTTTGTAAGAGAAAAAATTTGGGCAYGATCAAATATAAATAGGGTTCCTATATTATACTGCAAATTTCTTGATGAACATACAAAAAACTTCAGTGGAACTTTATATACACTTTTACTTTTCAAACTTATTCTTATCTACCAATTGCTTTTTTAATGAATAGTATACTTTCTGAATTTAAAAACATAAAATTTTATTAAAGAATACTACATATTTTAACTTAAAATCCAATATTATAAAATGTGTACACTGTTTAAAAAAATGAAAGCTTACCATGTATTCTGAAGGAGCCATAAACTCAATAGTAGCGTTTTGAACTTCAGGTCTCCTGTGAGGTTCTCCATAAACTCTTGTCAAAGGATTGTACATGAATTCTTCAGGTACTGTATAAAGTTAACAATGTTACTGAAAGGATTAATTTAATATACCTTGCATTTGTCCATTTTCTTAACTTAGAGGTTTAGAATTAATTCAATATAGTCTAAATATTAAGAATTAAACTCACTTGTTTGTTAATAAATTCACTTTTTAAAAAAAAGTTCCATTCAAGATCCTCACATTCCAAGGGGCACTAAATATCTCTTATTTTTACAACTACAGTCATTATGATTTTTCTTTTCCCATCTCTTGTTATCCTCTCTGTCTTAATTTTTACTAAAACTGCTTTCTGAAAATCAGTTGAAAAGATAAGAAAAACTGTCATTAAACGTCAATTATTTTCCTAAATTTCAGTTATACAAGGATTAACATTTGACATATGAAAAGTATAGAATGGCTGGACCTGAAAAGCCATGGTAAAACCACTTCAGAGGTTAAAACCATAAGAGTGTATACATTTTATTTATTATTAAGACATATAGAATATCAATTACCTACTACTTATATTAGTGCTGAGAATATTTTTTAAATTAATTATCATTGCAACTGTCTTCCCAATAATTGTTTAGTAATTAAAATCCCTATGGACTCTAAAAGATAAGCTATAGTTTGTGAAATTGGCTTGCATACATATAAAARAGGCTTCTACCTTTATCACAATTTCATTTTGTATATTAAAGCACATACCAATACACTACACACTATACATACATTTTCTGAATTACTATACAGTAACTAAGTTTTCTTAAGCTATCTTTATTTTCCTCTACTTTTAAAAAATAAACAAACAATAAAACTGGTTTTACAAAATCTCTTATATTCCTCTATTTCTCAATTTTTAGTTAACTTATTTTCACTAAGTTACCGAGGCTGGCCTCAAACTTGCAGTCCAGCTGCCTCAGCCTCCTTAGTAGCTGGAATTATAGAAATTTTCAATGTGAATACTGGCATATTGATTTTCTTCCCTAATCCTAATTGAATGTCACTGGTTAGATGATATTCTTCAAACATAAATTATAAAGAAGTTACTGAGAGAAATCTCTTCCTCCTCAATTATTGAGAAAACTACATTTAACTGACCTTCTAGCACTGCCCACCTCCCTTCACACAGCAGTGAATGAATTAGGCTGCTAGTCTGTGGACTTAGTTTCTTTCACCCTAGAGAAAAGGCATGGGACAATTTCTAAATAAAAATATTTCTTAAGTCACTGTCTTAATACCATGAAATATACCATTTATTATATGCCCAATATAATAAATGTAAAAAAGTGATCACAAAATAATATTATTACATTTTTTGCTTAAAAAGTATATAATTATTTATTTGTAAGTAAATTTTCATAGAAAAAAATTAACAGTGGCTTTCTCTGAGTGGAAGGATTGATTATAGGTAAATAAAGGTAAATTCAAAGAATTGCTTTTATTTTTTTGAAATAGGATCTCACTATGTTGTCATTTCCTGCTGCCTCAGCTTCCCTAGTAGCTGGGATTACAGATTCTTTTTTTTTTTTTTTCCATTTCACATTTTTATTTATTATCTGATTTCCCTTCAATGCAAGTAGAAATTATAAAATGTTTCAAAAATCATACCATCATTGACTCGGTAACATAAGTTACACTTCCATCTTCTTTGATCAAGAAAGCTGACAAAAGGGTTAATGTATGTCCTACATGAACGACATCTCACAATTGTACTGGAGGTAACCACAGGCAATTGCTGAAAAGACAAAACTAAGTTTGTAAAGGGAAAGATCCATTGTGTTAAAAGGGCAAGCATAAACCCATCTCTTCCAAAAAATTATTAGGACATTTTAATTGGGAGGGGGGGATGGAAAACAAGGAGAATATGTGTTCAAAATGCCACACATTTACAGCCAGAGGAATGGGAAGTTATGCTCCATTTGTGTACAATATATCGAAATTGTACATATATAACTGTCATATATAACTAATTAGAACTAATAAAAAAGAAAAAGAAAAAAATGCCATTCAAAAAAAATTTATGTAGCTAAATGTTCTGATTTTAAATCCTATTATTTTTCTCAAAGATCATTTTCATTAAAATTTGCCTTTTAAAAAAATTATTTTTTCAAGTTTGGGGTTGTAGTTCAGTAGGAGAGTGCTTGCCTATCACGTGCAAGGCCTTGGGTTCGATCCTAAGTACCACATAAAATTAAATAAAGGTATTATGTCCAACTACACTTAAAAAATAAGAATTTTTTAAAAATATTTTCTCATAAACATTCACATTGCAAAATAAAAATACATTTACAATATATTTTTGGCATAGATGGCAAAGAAAACAGGAACAACATCCTGAAATAATGATCAATGAATTATTCCCAGTTTTTGATGTTACATGAAGAGGGTTAAGTCTTAATTCTCACACAAGAACTGTCATAAAGTTAATTTGTATTTAAAGTTTATTCTACATATTAAAAGTTCTAGGGACTGGGGTTGTGGCTCAGCAGTACAGCGCACACCTAGTGCATATAGGCACTAGGTTCACTCCTCAGCCACACATAAAAATAAGTAAATAAAATAAAGGAATTGTGTCCACCTATAACTAAAAAAAAAGCTCTAGGGGCTGTTGCTGTAGCTCAGTGGCAGAGTGCTTGCCTTGCACATGTGAGGCACTGGGTTCAATCCTCAGCACAACATAAAAGCAAACAAATAACGGCATGCTGTCCATCTACAACTACAAAAAATATTAAAAAAAAAAAAAAAAAAGTTCTAAAATCTTTATACCAAAAATCAACAAAGGGGGCTCAGTGGTAGGGTGCCTGCCTAGCTAGCACTGGTAGGGGGGAATCAATAAAGGCAATAAAATCCTATTACCAAAAGGAAAGTCACCTCACTCACACTGATCTTCAAGTATGGCCATATGTTAAGGTCTCAGAGTCTCAAGACATCAGTGGATCAACTCCTGCCCTTTCTAAAATTTTTTWATTTTATTTGAGAAAGGAGCAACTTCTTAAAATAACTAGTTTTGCTCTAAGAACGGCAGAATGAGGAGATGAAGGTAAAGTACTTTAATTGGTAAATAATCTATAATTTATTAAAATAGTACAGCTTATTTATGTTAGTACCTCTATTCTATTAAGCATCTGCTGAAATTTTTTTTCTGGTACTGAAGCCTGAACCCAAAGGCACTTTGCCACTGAGCTACAACAGCTCTTTTTATTTTGAGATAGGGTCTCACTAAGCTGCTTAGGACCTCATTAAGTTCCTGAGGCTGGCTTTGAACTTGTGATCCTCCTGCCTCACTGGAATTATAGGCATGCACCTCCACTCCTGGCCTCTTGGATTTTTCAAAAATATACTTCTTTGACCTTGTTTGAAAGTGTTTTGATAATAAAATTACTGGTTAGATTACAAATAAAGAAATCCAATCTGGCAGATTGGATTTCTCAGAGGGAGAATGCTCGCCTCTCATAGCACTGGGTTCAATCCTCAGCACCACATAAAAATATAATAAAGATACTGTGTCCACCTATAACTAAAAAATTTTTAAAAAATTAAAAAAGAAAGAAATCCATCAGTAATCAAGTTCCTAAAGATAGCTCAAATTCTATATATCATTCCTGAATTACTGTAGAAAATTTCTACCACTAAGATAATTTTCTAAAAGACTTTTACTTTCACTAGAGAAACATACCACTAGATCTTTGAAAGGATGAAGCAGCAGACCCAAAGGAAGTTTGGCTTTATTCAGTAAGGCCTGAGTCTGAGGAATGCTGGTCAGTGTGCATCGAAATAACCTGCATCAAGGTAAAAAGCATATGTCAGTTGCTGCTATGATTATCCTGAAAGGAAAAAAGAAAAGTATTTAACAGGTACATATCTTAATATTAGATCAGATTACAAATAAAATATCTCAGTAGCCCCTCTCAATTTTTTTTTTTTTTTTTKGACTGGGGATTGAACCAAGAGGCACTTAACCACTAAGCTACATCTCCAGTCCTTTTTTACATTTTATTTAGAGACAGGGTCTCAATGAATTGCTTAGGCCCTCACTAAATTGCTGACTGGCTTTTGAACTTGTGATTCTCCTGCCTCAGTCCCCCAAGTCACTGGGATTAAAGGCGTGAGACACCGTGCCTGGCGACCCTCTCTACTTTTATACCATTAAAATATTTAAGACTTAAGTTCTGTTCAGAAATAGAGTAGATGGCTACCTRTATTATATAGCTAAAATATTGTCTCTTTTCTTGTTTTAGGTATAATATAGCCTTGACTATCAAATGACTTATTTTTATGTAAATCTAAATCACACTAGAATTAAAAGGTGATTACACACACTTATAAATGCACTTTATATTTATTTATTTTTGATACTAGGTATTGAAACCCAGGGCACTTTACTACTGAGCTACATCTTCAGTCCTTTGTATATTTTATTTTGAGACAGGGTCTCACTGAGCTTCTCAGAATTTCACTAAATTCCTGGATGTCTATAAGACTGAGATTATAGGCATGCACCTCCAGTGATACTCATGACTCAGTGCCTCAGCCTCCCAAATCACTGGGATTACAGGTGTGTGTTGCCATGCTTGACTTTTTTTTTTTTTTTTTTTTTTTTGAGACAGGGTCTTGCTATGTTGCCCAGTTGTCCAGGCTGGTTTGGAACTTCTGGGCTCAAGCAATCCTCCTGCCTCAAGCTAGGACTATAGGTGCATGCTGCCATGCCTGAACAATTCATTCAATTTTGCTGAAGGTTGTAAAAAACTACTTCAAAATAGAAATAACAAATTTTGTAACAAAATTCAATTTCAGAGTCTTCACTACACACATTTAAACTTATGACAAATATTTAGGGAAAAATTATAATTAGGTTTATAGTGAAATAAATTTAAAATGACAGCAAAAAAAAGAACTATATAGACTCAAATAATTGTATTTGGGATGCATTACCAGAATGATAATGAAAAGCATAATCTTATCAGAGCTAATAGGAGCAGCAATCACTTCAAGAGTTACAACCCTAATTCTTAACTTAAAACATTTCAATCTCAAGTTTAAGTGAAAAAGGTTTTTCTTCTATATTAGACCTCTTTCATAAATTAGTCTACTTATACAGCTTATTCATAAAACACGAAACTAAAAAAATGTATTTTAAAAATTCTAGAAAATGTAGGACATTCATGATGTCACATATAATATGAAACAACACAATTTGAAACCCCTTACTCTGGGTTACAGTTGAGTTTCTGGATGTCTTCATGCAAATTTGGAACTGGAGGCTGCAAAGGTGTTGAGGGAAGCATATTTCTTTCTTGAAGAAGATTGATAACTCTTAGTCCCTCTGGATGTAGACTTAATCCACTCATGCTTGTAGTTAAATGATTAGCACCTAAGGGAGTCTACAGATATATAATTTAAAAATAAGCAACTTTTGTTTTTCTCTTTCTAAAAGTAGTAAACTTGGTTCATTTCACTACATAATGAAAGTACAATCTACATTTCTTGGTCAATTTTTTGGTTCTGGAAAAATCTGTAAGTATAAAGGTTTTATAAAGTATCCATTATTATTCTAACTGGTTATAAAAAATGTTAATACAACTTCCTTAAACTTTCTTCATGTATATACAGTTTAAACCAAAAGGTAGAAAATAGATTGGGGAAAAAAGGCAAAACTTTACCTGAGTAAAGGCCGGGGGGCCACTTGGATAATTCAATGAAGAAGGTGGGATTCCAGTTGCACTAGGTGGTGTTGTGTTCTGATAACCAGGTGGTAAAGAGGGATATGCATATCCAACACTTCGGCTCATTTTGGGATTCTTATTAATAAGCTGTGGTGTTGCTAGAAACAAGGTAACTTTTAAGTTCTATTTTATATTCCAGAATACTTTAACTCAACACATGGATCCATTAAATTATGGGAATTATAACTCCAAACTCCTTTGGATTAATTTAATAATCTCATTTATCAATTGAAGACAAACACTAGTAATGATTATAATCTAGCAATGATTATAATCTAGTTAATGTAGACTATAGCTATAAACACACACAAATAAGTTTGATATATTTAATTCACTTTCATGTCATGTAATAAATTTTGAATTCATATTACATTTCAATTTAAAAGAGCTTTAATGAAAACATCTTAGATGCTCGATTTATGGGATTGATTAAACAAATTTAGTTTATCTGATAAAAATAAAATAATAGATATGGCTACATAACACAGTATAAATTTTTTAACTTAATTTCCTATAATAAGCAAATATGACTTCTATAATCAGAAACAAGATTTTTAAAAAAGAAATTTTCATAGCATCTCACCCAAGAAGCCACCTCCTTCAATTTCATCATAACTACTATGGACCGCCATAGATCCATTATTGGCATTTGATGTAATACCTAAGGAGCAAGTTCATTAATAAGATTTAAGTTAGAATGGGTATTATAATTTCTGCAAGATATGAACTAATATCTAAACTCTTAGATAACCTCCAAAAAAATAGTTTAAATCACTGCCTACCAAAAATATTGTCTTGGTAGCACACACCCATAATTCTAGCTACTGGGAGGTTGAAACAGAAGGATATTGCAAGTTCAAAGCCAGCTGGGTCAACTTGGTGAGACCATGTGTCAAAATAAAAAATGAAAAGAGATAGGGATGTAGCTCAGAGGTAGAGTACTTGCCCTGTGTTAATGCCTAGTACTAGAAAGGAAAAAATGAGAAAATGACATAAACAGATGTATTTCAAAAAGTCTGGTGTTAGAAGTGGAAGAGGAAAAGAAAAAGGAGGAAGAGGAAGAAGAGGAGGAGGAAGAAAGAAGATTAAAGAGGAAGAAGAGGAGGAAGGAGAGGGAAAAAGAGGAAGCAGACTACAACCTACAGACAACCAACAGATACCTGAAAAAAATGTTAACATCACTAATCATCAAGGAAATGTGAATCAAAACTATGGTGAGATAAAGTTCAAGACCAGACTACTGGGCAATTCAGCAGACCCTGTCTCAAAATATATAAAAAAGGGCTGGGGATGTATCTCAGTGGTTCAGGGCCCCTGTGTTCAATCCCCAGTATTACACATACACAAAACAAAGACAAAAGTAATCCTGGAGTTGTGGTTCACAGGTAGAGTGCTGCCTAGCATGTGTGAGGCACTAGGTTTTATTCTTAGCACCACATAAAAATAAAGATATTGTGCCCACCTATAACTAAAAAATAAATATTTTTAAAAAAATAAATAAATAATCCTGGCAAGGATGTGGAAAAGGGTAACAGCTAGTGGAAATGTTAACCAGCACAGTAGTTATGAGAAAGAGTATGGAAGTTCCTCAAAAAACTAAAAACAGAAATACTAAATGATTTTGACAGGGTTGGGGTTGTAGCTCAGTGGGCTGTGTTTGTAGCTCAGTTGGGCTGGGATTGTAGCTCAGTGGTAGAGCACTTGCCCTGCATTCGTGAGGCACTGGGTTCAATCCTTGACACCACATAAAAATAAATAAATAAATAAATAAATAAATAAATAAATAAAATAAAGATATTGTGTCCATCTACAACTAAAAAATAGATTTTAAAAAAAATCAGCATGACAAAGAGATGCCTATACTCCCCCATTTATTGCAGCACTATAACACAAGAGCCAAGATACAGAATCAATTTAAGTGTCCATCAATGGATGAATGTATAAAGAAAATGTGTTAGCATATATGTGTGTGTGTATGCAATGAAATATTGCTCAGCCATACACACACACACACACACACACACACACACACACACTCCTGTCATTTGTAGCAATATGGATGAGCCTAGAGGATGTCATGCTAAGTAAAATAGCCTGGCAGTATGGAAAAACAAATAACACATGTTCTCTCTCTCTCCCTCTCTCATACACACACACACACACACGCACACACACACACACACACACCCCACACACACGTATGTATGTATATGTATATTGAAAAAGTTGATCTCATAGAAACAAAGGAATTGTAGTTACCAGAGATTAGGAAGTGTAGGATGGTGGGAAGAGAAAGATTGGTTAAAGAATACAATACATGTAATTCCAGTTATTTGGGAGGCTGAAGATTGAGGATTTAAAGTTGGAGGCTATCCTGGGTAACTTAGAGAGATCCTGTCTCAAAGCAAGAAAAAAAGGGCTAGAGATGTAGGTGCTTGCCTAGCATGTACAACAACCAAGGAAGGAAGGAAGGAAGAAAGGAAGGGAGGGAGGGAGGAAGAGAGGAAAGAGGGGAAAGAAAGGATTAATTTCTAGTGTTCTATAGAATAGTAGAGTGACTACAGTTAAAAATAATTTACTATTTCAAAATATCTTGGGCTAGGGATGTAGCCAGTAGTAGAGTGGCTGCCTAGCATGTGAGAAGCCCTGGGTTCAATTCCCAGTACTGCCCCAAAGTATGTGTGTATCAATGACAGACACACACACACACACACACACACACACACACTCACACACAATGATTTAAAATGTTCTAAATACAAAGAAATGATAAGTGTTTGAGGCATTAGGTATACTAATTACCCTGATTTGATGATCCAGATTGTATGTATGTATGGAAATATAATGCTGTGTCTGATAAACACGTACCGTTATTATGTTTTTGATTTTGTTTTTTTGGTACCAGGGGCACATAGCCACTGAGACATACCCCCAGTCCCTTTTTTAAAAAAATTGTGTCATTTCTTTTTTGCCTTTATTTATATATTTATTTATGTGGTGCTGAGGATTGAATCCAGTGCCTCACACGTGCTAAGCAAGCATTCTACCACTGAGTTACAACCCTAGCATCCCTCAGCCCAACTTTTTTATTTTTTATTTTTTTTTAGAAATAGGGCCTCGCTAAGTCACTGAGGCTGGCTTTGAACTCATGATCCTCCTGCCTCAACCTCCCAAATCACTGGGATTACAGGCATGCACCATTGCACCTGGCTATGTATTGATTTTTGATAAGGTCAAATGTTGAAATAAATCTCAATAATGCAAGTTTTAAAATATACAAACATTTCAAGATTCTTAAATAGATTTTCAGGGAAAGGAAATTGAGTCTCTTCGTAGTATTTTTTCCTTTTTTTTTTTTTCTTCTTTGTTCTGGGGATTGAACCAAGGGCTTCATACATGGTAAGTGCATATTCCACCACTGAGCTGCATCCCCAATTCCTGTAAGGACTCTTCTTTCATCTTAAACTATGCCTGCCTTGAACACACAAGGCTCTGGGTTCAATCCCCAGCACCACAAAAAAAAAAAAAAAAAAAAAAACTGCAGTGGGCTGTGGTTGTTGCTCAGTGGTAGAGCACTTGCCTGGCCCATGTGAGGCACTGGGTCCAATAATTAGCACCACATAAAAAAATAAATAAAATAAAGGCATTGTGTCCATCTACAACTAAAAAAAATATTTAAAGAGAAAGAAAGAAAGAAACTGCAGTAAAACTTTTAGTAAAAGCCTGGCAAGTGTGAGGCACTGGGTTCAATTCTCAGCACCAAATAAAGGTCTATCAACAACTAAAAAAAAATATTATAAAAAAACAAGCAAAATAAAAAAACATAAGGCAAGTAAATTTTTTTTGTTAAATATTTAAATACTTATTATAGCCTGATTTTCAAAGTTAGATTGTAGCAATCTATATTGTTACTCATGATTAACACCAACCTTATCCCTACTAATAATGCTTTAAAATACAATAATAATATTGATCATATTCAATATAAGGATATGAGCAAATGTTTTTACCTCTCTTCTCGGTTTTTTTTCTATTTCCATGTCTTAGGGCAATGGTTATCTTTTTACTAAAATTAAATTCTTTTTTCTTTTAAATATATTTTTAGTTGCTGATGGACCTTTATCTTTATTTATTCATTTATATGTGGTGCTGAGAATCGAACCCAGTGCCTCATGCATGTTGGATAAGCACTCTACCACTGAGCTACAATCCCAGCCCTAAAATTAAATTCTTACTTTACAAAATATTTTACTTAAATTAATGCTTAATTTCAAAGTTACATGTATTCACAAGATAATGTTTGAAAACATTTTACTTAAATAAAACTTCAAAACGCTTGTACATTTGACTTTTATTCTTTTTTTAAAATTTTTATTATTTATTTACTGTACTGGGGAATGAAACCCATTGAGTTCCTATCCCCAGCTGCCTGCATTTTTTTTTAATATTTCTTTTTAGTTGTAGATGAACAGAATGCCTTTATTTTATTTATTTTTATATGTTCCTAAGGATTAAACCCAGCATCTCTCACATGCTAGGCAAGCACTCTGCCACTGAGCTATAGCCCAAGCCCTGACTTTTATTCTAATAAATATTTATTAATATTTATAATAATATTGTTGATAAAAATATAATTATTTTTAAAAGATAGTTCTTTTTTTGGTGGGGGGGGGCCTACTGGGGGTTGAACTCAGGGGTGCTTAACTACTGAGCCACATCCCCAGTCTTTTCTTTTTTTTTTTTTTTTCCCACATTTTATTTACAGACAGGGTCTCGCTGAGTTGCTGAGGCTGGCTTTGAACTCACAATCCCTCTGCCTCTGTCTCCTGAACAACTGGGATTACAGGCATGCACCACCACATTAAAAGGATAGTGCTAACATCATACCCAGAAAAGCAGGACTTCTTCAATTTTTTTTTTTAAATCTACACAATAATAAAAAAAAAAAAAAGGTAGAAGGGCTGAGGATATATCCCAAAGGTTAAGAACGAGTTCAGCATACCCAAGGTCCTGGGTTTAATCCCCAAAACAAACAAACACACACACACACACACACACACACACACACACACACACACACACACACACGAGCTTGCGTGAAGAGCTAAAAGAAATGATTCTGGTTCCCAAATGCTAATCCACAGTAATGGAAGTCTGGAGGAAATTTTTAAAACTACATATTCCTGAAGCCCATTCTAACCCAAACTGGATTTTCTTTAAAAATATGACTCTAAGGGCTGGAGATGTGGCTCAGCGGTAGCGCGCTCGCCTGGCA